TGTTTTTACGTGAAACAAACCCCTTGTCTCTCTCTCATGATGATGATGATGGGCCGTGTGATGTGTGTGTTGGCCGTTGTGCTGTGCTGCGCCTGTGGAGCTACTCTCTCTGTTGGAGTGGCAGCCACTAGTAATGATGTATGGAACGATTTTCTTGGTACAGCAATTTATGATTATGATTGTTTTAAGAGAAATGCTGAGAAATCTATTAATGGTATCACTTGTGAGGCATGGAAAAAACATAAGAAGGAGACTGGAGAACCGGATCCCTATGCTCCTGCCTCTTCACCTCCTCAACCACTACAGAACACGGTGAATCACCCTGTCCTAACAGAGGCCGTACAACGTCAAGAAATAACTGGTGAGACTTCATCACAAGGGGCTGAACTGGGGCAGGAAAGCAAAGGAACGAAAGGGGATACACCAGAACACCCTGTCAGTGCCACTGAAGCTGAGGGACAGAAACAAGAGACAGATGCGACAGATGGTGCAATCACATCTCGAGGACAAACGCCAGATTCTAATGCAGCACAACAAGTTAATCAAGAAACATCAAGCACAACAGCTAACAGTACACTTGGTAATTCTAAACCTTATCAGCAATCTCCTGCAACTGTGGATGCGACTGACACACCAAACTCACAACAAACCAATTCCACTACTCCGCCGAGCCCCGAGAGCACTACCACAGAAGCACCAACCACCATACCATCTTTATCTTCTGTACCCAGCGCAGAGATCAGCAGCATTACTTCCACCATGAAGAACAATAAGGCTAATGTTGACAACAGTGTCAATCCTGTGTGGATGCGTACTGCAGCACCGCTACTGATTGTGGCTGTGTTGTTCTCCGTTACTGTGTACTGAACGGTGGGACTCATCTGAGGAGAAATAATAATAGTAATAATAACAGTTATACTAACATCAACATAATTGCGTACATCCCCATGGGTGAATAAATTAATAATCTGTTTAACAGCTTTCTCTTCCAATTCGATTTTCTTTTCTTTTACTTTTATGTGTGTGCTGTTTTTCTAATAATTCCATTACTTGCTTTTCCCGTTGTGTGTGAGTGTAGAAAACTGGGCTGTTCTGCTCACTGACGGTATACATCTCTTGCTAGTACACACAGATGTGTGTGTGTGTGTGTGTGCAGTAATTTAATATGCATAAACTAGAGCCATGGGGTATTGTGTGTGTGTTTGTTTGCCTCTCTCTGCAATGTTACCAAATAGTGTTTAATTTGTTTATAATCTTTTTCTTTTTCGTATGGGATTGGAATGGGACTTTATTTTGTTTGAATAATGGGTATTTTCCCTAATGTGTATCTACCTCCGTTATATTCATGGTTGACTCCATTATGTGTGTGGAGTAATAGTGGTGTACTGCTGCTTCTGTGTTTTCTCATCCTTCTTTTTTTTTTTTCCACACTCCCTGCATAGATCTGTGAACTCAAGTGACGAGAATAACAACAATCACAAGAAGAAGAGCAATGATGATGATGCGCCGTGTGATGTGTGTGTTGGCCGTTCTGCTGTGCTGCACCTGCGGGTATACCATGACGGCTGCTGCTACTATTGCTACTGCTACTACTCCTGGACGGCCAAAGGCGGAGATAGCTGATAACTTACCAATATTGGTAGATGTGGATGGTACGGGTGAACCGAATCCTGATGATAGTTTTCTTCCTATTGGACCTTTAGAAGGGTCGAGAGATGATATCAGAGACGAGATCTCCCGTAGAGAAAAAGAAATTGCAACTCTAGTGAAGAGCGTCGAAGACCTATCTGAAGGGTTGGAAAACGTGAAATTTGTTGAGAATCAAACGGCTCTGATAAACCAAACAGTTGGTGAAGGGAATAGAGAACACGCTTCTGCACCTACAGATATTTTGCCCTCAGACGCTAATAGTGCAGTGAGTGCGTCATCATCTGTTGCCGCAAGCTCATCAAGTACAGAAACACACTCTCCAGGAACACCATCAACCAACACGACACCCTTAAACTCATCTGAAGTTGTTGATTCCAATCAAGCTAACTCGCAAGTACTCTCTGAAACTACCACAGAAGGCAGTGATGTCAAGGAGCCTAATACAGCACAAGAATCACCCGCAGAGTCGGGTGACCTCACAACCAAAGGTTTACATGGAAATGACAATGCTGGCTCTGCAGCCACCACCGTGAAGAATAAGGCTAATGTTGACAGCAGTGTCAGTCCTGTGTGGATGCGCACTGCAGCACCGCTACTGATGGTGGCTGTGTTGTTCTCCGCTACCGTGTACTGAACGGTGGGACTCATCTGAGGACAGATAATAATAATGGTTGAACTAACATAATCATAATTGCGTATATCCCCATGGGTGAATAAACTAATAATCTGTTTACCAGCTTTCTCTTTTAATTCGAATATCATTTCTTTTCTTTTACTTTTATGTATGTGTGTTCTTTGTGCTAATAATTCCATTGCCTGTTTTTTCCCGTTGTGTGTTTGCAGAAAACTGGGCTGTTCTGCTCACTGACGGTATACATTTTCTTAAGTGCACATGCATATGTGTGCAATAATTTGGTACATCAACTAGAGCCATGAGGTATTGTGTGTGTGTGTTCTTGGAGACTCTTTGTGTGCTTGGGCTTGCACTGTGATAATGATGATGAACTGCTTTTTGCGCAGTGGGAAAAAAGAAATAATAATAACAGATGAATTTATATTTATAATTGCGTATACATACACATATATAGACTTACACCCATAATTAGTGTATATTTCTGTGTTTACTGGGCAAATATGGGCTAATGGTTAATATCTGTTTTCTTCGCTTGATGAGTTTGCTGGGTGGTTCATCCTTTTTGAGATATTTGTGAGTGTGGGCTTTTTTGTTTGTTTTTACTCTTACTAAGGTTATTGGGCTGTACTGCATTCTTTAACTGGTAGGTTTTACTTTCACGATGTGAGTTTCCATAGTGGTAATCGATTTGTGTGTCCTAACGTGTTAGAGACTTCAGTTATTTTCTTTTTTTACTTTTTGATTGTCTTTCTTTCTAGATCAGTGTTTTTACGTGAAACAAACTATTTTTTCTCTCATGATGATGATGCGCCGTGTGATGTGTGTGTTGGCCGTTGTGCTGTGCTGCGCCTGCGGGTATACCATGACGGCTGCTGCTTCTGGTTCTGCGGTTGTTCCTCGTGCTGACGAATCATCGACGGCGATGGCGTTTGCTGGTCATATTGTGAAGTACCTTATTCCTAGTCACAACAGTACGGATTTTTTTGGTGACAATAAGACGTCTGTTGAATCATCTCGAAAGAGTGTTCTTGATGGTCAAGAGAGCACTGAAGTAACTAATTTGAAGAGTGGAGAAGGTATCTCAAATGGTCCTATGGTTGATAAGGAACGTAAGTTGGATGCTGAGGGATCAGCCGCAGCAGAGGAATTACACAAAAACTCTGTTGAGGACAAAAGGACGACGTTAACTCCTGACGTAGACCAACCTCACGTTGTGGAGTCTCCCAGTGTTTCAGATCCTATTGACCAACAAAAACAAGAAAAACAAGAGGTATCACTTAATACAGGTGACTCCTCTTCTCCTTCACCTAAAGGAACAACTGATGCTGGGGATAGTAGTGGACCAGGTACAACAACAGTGGCTGGAGCCCAATCTGGTGAAAAAGCAGTAGTTGTCCCAGAGACATTGAATACTCCAGCACAACCTACAACTCCAACGAGTTCTTCTGCGAGTGCACCTGCTGATGCCAATCTTTCCCAAAGTGTACCTGCAGAGAGCAGCACAATTTCAACATCTTCCACTAACAACAGTACAGGTGACAGTACTTCTGGCGGGCCCACAGGTGTGAGTCCGACAGCAGACACAGAAGGAACCAATTCAACTTCTACACCTAAGGCAGTCCCAGAGATCAACAGCATTGCCCCCACTGTACTGAAGAAGGGTAATGTTGACAGCAGTAGTATCAGTTCTGTGTGGATGCGCACTGCAGCACCGCTGCTGATTGTGGCTGTGTTGTTCACTGTTACCGTGTACTGACCCGTGGGACTCATCTGAGGACAAATAATAATAATGGTTAAGCTAACATAATCATAATTGCGTACATCCACCCCATGTGTGAATAAACTAATAATCTGTTTACCAGCTTTCTCTTGTAATTCGAATATCTCTTCTTTTACTTTTGTGTGTGTGTGTTCTTTTTCTAATAATTCCATTACTTGCTTTTCCCGTTGTGTGTGTTTGCAGAAAACTGGGCTGTTCTGCTCACTGACGGTATACTTCTCTTGCTAGTACACACAGATGTGTGTGTGTGTGCAGTAATTTAATATGCATAAACTAGAGCCATGGGGTATTGTGTGTGTGTTTGGCTCTCTCTCTTATTTGGGTATTGTGGGGTCTTCTCTTTTCTTTTCTATTAAGGGGTTACATATTATCATTCAAGTGGGATATTCCTTTTTCTTGCTTTACTGTGCAGTTACTGCTTCTCTCTCTCTCTTTTCCAATGTGAGTATTCGTGTCCTGTATCCACTCACTATATATGTCTCTTTTTCTTTCTTCTTCTTTCACTTTTCAACACTTGATACATTTGACCTGTGAACTCAAGTGACGAGAGTAACAAGAACAACTTTTGTCATGATGCTGCGCCATCTGTTCTATATACTAGCTTTGCTTCTGAGTGTTATCTCTCTATGTGTGGCATCTGCAGAGATTCCTGGTGGAGGTGGTGATCGTGTTGTTCCTGATACTGCATCTGAAACCAAAGTTCTTCATACTGAAGTGCAACAGACTGACCNTATTTTCAGAAAGACATTGGAGACATTTTTCGTTAAAAGGAAATGGCCCGAAGCCACAACATGAAAATGAAAAGGGTGTACTACTCCTTTTTATGTATGAGGAAAGAAAAAAAAAGAAAAACTTATTTATCTTATCCATTATTCTTCTCTCCTGTACGACTCTTGAGATTATTTTTTTTCTTCCATTTTTTTTTTTTACTTTTATCTGTGTGTGTTTTTTGCTAAAAATTCCATTACTTGCTTTTCCTGTTGAGTGTGTGCAGAAAACTGGGCTGTTCTGCTTACTGACGGTATACATCTCTTGCTAGTACACACAGATGTGTGTGTGTGTGCAGTAATTTAATATACATAAACTAGAGGCATGGAGTATTGTGTGTGTGTGTGTTCTTGGAGACTCTCTGTGTGCTTGTTGACTTGCGCTGTGATGATAATGATGAACTGCTTTTTGTATTGTGATGAAAGAAAATAATAATAATAATAACAATAATAATAATAATAATAATAATAATAATAATAACA